AAAAAAAGCTCTTTCCTCTCTATGGAGCTTTCTTTTGAAAGAGATAAGCTTTTTAGATTCACATAAGAGGAAACTATATGGGGATATTTGTTTTGGAGGAGCGATTATCACATGATTCTCTTTAGTGTTCCATCTATAAGAGTATATATAGTATGAGATGATTTTCTCATTGCCAATGGTAGTAATTCATTGTATACACCACATTTTCTGTTAATCAGTTGATGGACACTTGAGCTGCTTCCCATCATTTGGCTTTTTGCAGGTAATGCTGCTATAAACATCAGGTGCATATTTCCTTTTTGGTTAGTATTTGGCCCTTTGGGTAAATACCTAATAGTGCCATTGCTGGATCATAGATAAGTTTTATTTTTTAACTTTGAGGAGAGCCTCCATAGCTGTTTTTCCCAAAGTGGCACCTGTTTGTAGGCTCCCACCAATATGCACACTTCCTGGCTAACACCTGTTGTTTCTCGTGTGTTGTTGATTTTTTAAAAAAATTTTTTCAACATTTATTTATTTTTGAAAGACAGAGAGAGAGTACAGAGCATGAATGGGAGGGTCAGAGAGAGGGAGACACAGAATCCTAAACAGGTACCCAGGCTCTAAGTTGTGCTACGAGCCCCATCGCTGGGCTCAACTCAACGGATCATGACCTGAGCCGGTCGGCCTCTAACTAATCAGAGAGCCACCCAGGCTGCCTCGTGTGTTGTTGATTTTAGCCATATCGGCAGGTGTGAGGTGAAACTCATTGTAGTTTTTGATTTGAGAGTGATGTTGAGCTCTCTTTCATGTGTCTGTTTGCTGTCTGGATGTCTTTGGAAAATGTTCATTCATTTCTTCTGCCCATTTTTTTTTTTTTTTTTTTAATTTTTTTCAGTTATTTATTTTTGGGACAGAGAGAGACGCATGAATCTGGGAGGGGCAGAGAGAGAGGAGCCACACAGAATCGAAACAGGCTCCAGGCTCCGGCATTATCAGCCCAGCCTGACGCCGGGCTCAACTCCCGGAGTCATGATCGCGGATCTGGTTGAAGCGCTTAACTGACACATGCTTTACCCAGGCTCTCTCTTTTTCTGCCCATTTTTAATTGGATTATTTGGTTTTTGATGTTGAGTTTTATAAGTTCTTTATATGTTTTGGACAATAACCCTTTTATTGATATATGCCATTTGCAAATATCTTCTTCCATTTCTTAGGTTGCCTCTTGTTTTATTGATTGTTTTGCTGTGCAGAAGCTTTTTATGTTGGTATAGTCCCAGCTTATTTTTGCTTTTGTTCCCGGGCAATGAAAGAGGACATATCTAGCAAGAAGTTGTTGTAGATGTCAGAGAAGTTACTGCCTGTGTTCACTTAGGATTTGTTTTATATGGTTTCAGGTCTTATAGTTGGTCTTTATCCATTTGAATTTATTTTTTGTGTATGGTATAAAGAAATGGTCCTGTCATTCTCTTGCTGGCTGTTGTCCAGTTTTCCCAACACTGGAGAGACATCATTTTTTCCCATTGGGATATTCTTCCTGCTTTCTCCTCTCAGGATTACCTGACCATATAGTTGTGGGTTCTATTCGTTCTATTGATCTGTGTGTCTGTTTGTGCCAGTACCACACAGTTTTGACCCACTTTCAAAGTCGGCAATTCGAAAGTTCTAAATCGTGATGCTCAGCTTTGCTTTTCTTTTTTTTCAGTTGCTTTGGCTGGGGCTTTTTGTGGTTTCATACAAATGTTAGATTGTTCTAGCTCTGTGAAAAATGCCATTAGTATTTTGGATACAGATTGCATTAAACGCGTAGATTGTTCCGATAATAGAGACATTTTAACAATATTTGTTCTTCCAATTGGTGAGTACAGATTGTCTTTTCCATTTCTTTGGTCTTTAGTTTATCAGTGTTTTATATAGTTTTCAGAGTACAGATATTTCACCCTTTGGTTGTGGGGTTTGACCTCCGTATCTTATTGTTTTGGTGCAGTTGTACATGGACCGTTCAATTCTGTTCTTGCTTCATTATTGAATATAAATGCAACAGATTTCGTGGTTGATTTTATATCCTGCAACTCTACTAAACTGCTTTATCAGTTCCTTGCAATTTTTGGGTGGAGTCTTTTGGGTTTTCTATGTATATATGTCATCTGCAAACAGTGAACATTTTACTTCTTCCTGTTGATTTGGATGCTCTTTTTGTTGTCTGATTACTGTGGCTAGGACTTCCAGTACTGTGTTGAATAAAAGGGTAGAGTGGGACATCCCTGGGTCTTGTTCCTGACTGTGGAGGAAAGGTCTCAGCTTCCCCATTGAGTATGATGTTAGCTAGTTTTCGTGATATGGCCTTTATGTTGAGGTATGTTCTAACCTACTTCTTCTGAGAGTTTTCATCATGAATGGATGTATTTGTCAAATGCTCTTTTCTGCATCTATTGAAAATGATCATATGGTTCTTGTTCCTTTCTTTTTCTTTTCTTTTAAAAAAGTGCTAACATTTATTTTTGAGAAACAGAGCATGAGTTGGGGGAGGGGCAGAGAGAGAGGGAGCACAAAGAATCCAAAGCAGGCTCCAGACTCCAAGCTATCACAGAGCCAGACGTAGTTTCCAAACTCAACAACTGCAAGATTATCAAGTACAGGACTCCGAGATGAAGTCAGACACTAACCAACTGGAACCACCAGATGCCCCTTAACCTTTCTTTTCTAATGTGCTGTAACATGATCGATTGTTGCAAATCAGGACAAATTCCACTTGATTGGTGAATGATCTTTTTCATGCATTTTTAGATTTGGCAGTATTTTTATTGATACTTGCCTCCATGTTCATCAGGAATGCTGGCCTGTACTCTTTTTTATTTTTTATTTTTTTTATTTCATTTTATTTTTACATTTTTTCTTTATGTTATTTATTTGAGAGTAGAGAGGTGTGAGAACAGGAGAGAGAGGGAGACATAATAGTAATCTGGAAGCAGGCTCCATAGTTTCCAGCTGTCAAAGCAGCTGCAGAACCCGATGTGCAAGGAACCTCACACAAACTGTGAGATCATGACCTGAGCCCAGTCAGATATTAACCGACTTAGAACCCCACCCAGGTGCCCCCGGGTAGTTCTTTAGTGGTGTTCATCTGGTTTTGGTGTCAGGGTAATGCTACCATAGAATGAATTTGCTTCCTTCCTTTTCTGTTTTTTGAATAGTTTGAGAAGAATAGGCATAAACCCTTCTAAAATGTTTGGTGGAAATAGGGGAGCCTGGGTGTTCAAATAAATAAAGGCCATTTAAGTCTTACTCTGATTTTTACTCAGGTCATGATCTCATGGTTCATGAGTTCAGTCTCTGTGTCTGGCTAAACACCGACAGTGTGGAGCCTGCTTTGGGATCTTCTCCCCTTGCCTCTCGTCCCTCCCGCCACTTGTGCTTTCTCTCGCCGCTTCTCTCCATTTCTCCAAATAAATAAAACTTAATTAGGCAACACTTAAAAAGCCTCAAATATTTGGTAAAATTAGCCCATGAAGCTGTCTGGCTCTTGGACTTTGTTTGTTGGGGAGTTTTTTACTGATTCAGTTTGTTTGTTGGTTATCAGTCTAATCTGCTTTTTTCTATTTCTTCCCTGTTTTGGTTTTGGTAGCTTATATGTTTGTAGGGCATTTATCTTGTTTTTTCCAGGATGTCCAGTTAGTTGGCATATAGTTTTCATAGTACTTATAATTACTTGTATTTCTGTGTTGGTTGTTCTGTGTTATTCTCATTTAGATTTTATTTATTTGAAGTCCTTTCTGTTTTCTTTTCTTTTTGATAAGTCTCCATAGAGGTTTATCAATTTTATTAATTTTTTTCAAAGAAATAGTTCCTGAAAAGTGATTTGAAGTTCTTGTTTTTTTTTTTTTAATTTAATTATTTATTTTTAAAAATTTATATCCGTTAGCATATACTACAACACTGATTTTTGTAGCTGTAGATTCCTTAAGTTCCCCTTTACCCATTTAGCCCATCCCCACACAACCCCTCCAGTAACCCTCAGTTTGTTCATATTTTATGAGTCTTCTGTTTTGTCCCTCCTGTTTTTATATATTATTTTGTTTCTCTCCTTGTGTTCATCTGTTTTGTCTTCTAAAGTCCTCATATGAGGAAGTCATATGATTTTTTTGTCTTTCTCTCGAGTTCAATTTCACCCAGCATACATAATACCCTTCCTGTAGCTCCATCCACCTAGCTTGGCAAGATTTCATTCTTTTGATTGCCGAAGACACCATTGTATATATATATACACCACATCTTCTTTTATCCATTCATCCATCAGTGGACATTTGGGCTCTTTCCAGTGGCTATTGTTGATAGTGCTGTTATAAACATTGGGGTGCATGTGCCCTCTTCAACAGCATACCTGTATCCCTGATAAATTTTTTTTTAATGTTTATTTATTTTTGGAAGAGAGAGAGACAGAGTGTGAGCAGGGGAGGGGCAGAGAGAGGGAGACACAGAATCTGGAAGTGGGTCAGGCTTTGAGCTGTTAGCACAGAGAACTCAGGGGTTTGCAAACTGAGATCACCACCTGAGCCAATGTTGGATGCTTAACTGACTGAGTTGCCCAGGTTCCCCTGTTTTAATATTTTTTTTAAGTTTCTGTACTGCTTTCAACTTCTATTATTTCCTTCCCTCTGCTGGTGATAGGCTTGTTCTTTTTCAGCCTTTATGTGTATGGCAGGTTGTTTATTGAGAGTTTTCTTCTTGAGGTAGGTCTGTATTTCTGCATACTTTCTTCTTAGGACAGCTTTGCTGCATCCCAAAGGCTTTTGAGAAGTGTGTTTAATTTTCATTTGTTTTATGTATTTTTAATTCTTTTTGATTTTCTTGTTCATTCACGTTTGGTAGCATAACCTCCATATATTTATGGTCTTTTCCAGATTTTTCTTGTGGTTAACTTCAAGATGGTGTTGTGGTTCGAGAACCACATAGTATGAATGGTACGATTTCAGTCTTTTTGTATTTGTTGAGGTCTGTAGACATAGGATTCATTCTGGAGAATGTCCCATGTGCCCTTGGCCGTGTATTCAAGCGTGGGTGGTTTAGTCGCAGCTACCACCGACCAGCCAGGTCACTATCTCAATGTCAGTGGGTTCGGCCTCCTCTTTCAAGATCAGGTTTGGGCTGATGGCTCAGAGCCTGGAGCCTGTTTCCACCCTGTGTCTCCCCTCTCTCTCTGCCCCTCCCCTCCTCCAGTTTGTCTCCTCTCTCTGTCCCTAAAATAAATAAAGGAAAAAAATT